GCCCGCCCGCCCCGCAACCTGGATAACAGCATGCCCCGCCCTCCGGGAGCGGCATTGCTCGGGAAAAGGAGGGGGGGAGGAAGCCCAGGAGCCCGACGCGGAGCGCGGGTTCCGGGGAGAGGGGGAGGGGGCGAGGACGACAGGGAGGATGGAGGCGGAGGGAACCCGGCCGCCCGCAGCCTCGAGAGCCGAGAGGCCGATTACACACGTTCCCGGGATGCGCTGGGAATCGAACCGCCCGGGAGAGCAGCTTCCAGTCTAACGCGGCTGCCGGGTCGGGAACGAGTGCGCCTTCTCAGCCTCGAGGCACGGATACGAGATGGGTTAGCCCGGATTTAACACTTCTAGAATAAAAGAGCCCTTATTGTGCTACAGGCAAGACGGAATTGTTGCCCAGTTCACTATATGCAAAATAGAAAGGCCCTCAATGAATGCGCTTTAAAAAAAAAGAGCCCCTCCCATTTTCATGCCGGAGCTCTCTCCAACATGCACACGCGGAGTAGTCGGTCTCCCGCCACCTCCTCGCCCTGCTATGCGCTCGGGGCTGAGGGACCTCTGGCTTTCGTGCCTTTCTGCAGAGACTTGGGTTGTGTTTCTCCAGCGCGGGCACGGGGGCCACGGCGTGCTCTGCTAACGAGGCGGCGTTACAACGAAGCTGAAGCTGGGTGGCTAACGGGGCCCGGAGGGAAGAGGCGGGCAAAAGCGCCCCCGCCCCTTCTTCCTCCGTTCTCTGCCTGCCGCTGCATGCAAAGCAGACCCTAATGTATGCACGCAGAGGAAGGGGGGCTCGCGAGCACGTTTCTGATTAAGAGAGGGGGAGGAGAAGAGCGTTGGGCATTATGATACACTGGGTGGAAGGGGCCCGCCGGCGGCGAGCTCTGTGCGCGGGGTTAGTAGGCTGAGGGGGGAGGGGGAAGGAGGAGGGTTTGGGCGGGGGATGAATATCCACCCGGTTTACTTTATTGCGGGAAAGAGGGGAGGGCGCCTCAAGCTAGGCGTTAGAAGCCTGCGAGGCTGGGAAAGCACAGAAGAGAGGGAGGGGTTTGGACAGGGAGAACTTGCGTTGGCTGGGGCTAAGGGATCGATACACACAGCCTGCAGGCCCCGGGGCAGCCTCCATCCCTCCCACCCCCAGCCGAGGTGGAGTTCGCTGGAAGGTCACGCAGCCTTCCTGGACTCCCGCACCCGTACGGCGCCCTGCATGTAGTATTACAGCCTGAGGCGGCGAATTGGGGCGGGGGGTGTCGTGGTGAGCAGGTTGCAGTCAGCTCAGGCCCTCTGGAGGGTGCGCTGCACGCCTCCAGAGAAGGTCCACGGCCTCCTGGTGCTGAAAACCTCCGTCTCTCCACCCGCAAAACGTTTGTGCAGAGTGAACGATGGGGTGGGGGCTAGAAGGGAGCAGAGAAAGGGAGGCATAGGCAAGCTCCAACTCCCCCAACTAGTCCCGGATCGATCGCTGTTCCAACCGAGCAGGATGGAGCCCAGATGGTTTGCAAAGCGCACACTCACACAGCGCACACACAGGACCAGATTCCGTTGTTACATCGCGTGGTTTACTAGGTGCAAAAAGGGTGGGAGTAGCGGGAAGAGTCTCTTAAACGGCAGCCCCAGGACTCTGCTAAGGACATAGACACCCCATTGTGGACGGTTTCTCCATTGCAATATATTTAGCGTTAGACTCTGGTGGGGTTTGCTTCAGTGTAGCTGCTCTGATCAGTTACAGATTGGCGACCACGTGGATTCCCTCAAGCATCCTGATTTGTTCCCTCTCTCACTCTCTCTCGCTTATTTTTCTTTTGTATTTGCCGCCCCCCTTCTTTAATATGCATAACGGTCTGCAGAGGTAATAGCCGAGGGACTGAGTGACGGGCTTTATATAACTGTGTCAACAGGGTTTCTTCCCGTCCACCACCCCTGAGAAAACGTAAACTGGTTGGTTTCTGAGTAACCCCACTTCAACCACACTTTGTTGGGCACAGGTGGGAGGCCTGCAGGTGGAGTGGGAACAGCAAGAAAGAAGAGTATCTGTGAAGACTGTGAGAAGTCCTCAGACTCAAGCTTCTGGGTAGATAACTCCTTGATAAATCATTTAGTTTTGTCTTTTTGCCTCCTGACTAGTCCAAAGAGAGCCAGAGGAAATCAGAATTTGGTTTCCTGTTGGAGCTTTTAAGGCAGAAGTAGCAATAACTTACATTTGTTGACTGCCTTCTGTAAGCTTGAGTGCTTTATGGTGCATTCAGTTCTCACAAACCCTCTGAGCGAATTCTGATTTTATGAAGGGGGAAACTGTCCTAGAGGAATGTCCAAAGTCACACAGCCAGTAAGTGGCAAGACCAAATCTCACTGGGTCTGACACCAGTATCAACTAACCATAGTGCTTATCCCAGAAAGAAATACTATGCCATCTTACACCCATTAGGATGACTATTACTTAAAAAAAAAAAGAAGAAAAGGAAAAAAATGTTTATGAGGCTATGGAGAAATTGGAACACTTGTGCACTGTTGGCAGGAATGTGGAATGGTACAGACACTGTGGAAAACAGTAAGACGGTTCCTCGAGGGAAAAAAAGAATCATCATATGATCCAGCAATCCCACTTCTGGGTACACACCCAAAAGAATTGAAAGCTGGGTCTCGAAGAGATACATCCATATTCATGGCAGCATTATTTACAATAGCCAAAACATGGAAGCAAACCAAGAGTTCATCGATCAATGAGTCGATTACCAAAACATGGTATACTCATATAATGAAATATTATTCACTTTAAAAAGGAAAGAAATTCTGGGGGTGGGTTAGCTCAGTGCATGCTAAGAATGCATGCTTAGCACGCAGGAGGTCCTGGGTTCAATCCCCAGCACCTCCATTACATTTTTTTTAAAAAAGGAAGGAAATTCTGTAATATGTTACAACACGGATGAATCTTGAGGCTATTATGCTAAGTAAAATCAACCAGTTACAAAAAGAGAAATACTGTATGATTCCACTTATATGAGTTACTTAGAGTAGTCAAAATTGTAATGGCAGAAAGTATAATGGTGGTTACCAGAGAATAGACTGAGGGGAGAATGGAGAGTTATTGTTTAATAGGTATAGAGTTTCAGATTTTGTAAGATAAAAAGAGTTATGGAGATGAATGGTAGTGATATCTGCATAACAATGTGTATTTCTAAAATATGCCTATTCGTAAATTATCTTAAACTGCATGTGCTTTATTTTTTATTTGAAATTTTAATTCAATTTATTTTTCTTGAATACCTAATATATTCATATGGTTAAAAAGAAATAAAGTTCTCACTCCACTCTTGTTCTGAACTACCCTCACTTCTCCAAGTTAGAGCTTATCATTTCTTTGGGGCAACTAATGTTATCAATCTCTTGTATTCTTCCAGAGATAGTCTGTGCCTATACAAGCAAATACATATAGAAGTTTTTACATAAATGAAAGAATAGCAAACCCATTTCCTGGATCTTGCTTTGAAATCTGTATCTCGGAAATCATTCCGGTCAGCAGACAGCATTTCCTCATTCTTGGGGCTGCATGGAATAGAAGTAGCATAATTTTTATAACCAATTCTCTGTTAGGGGTACTAGAGCTGTTTCCAAACTTTTGCTATTTCAAACAATGCTGCAGTGCACAATCTTAAACATACGTTATTTTGCAAATGGGCAAATTTATCTGTAGTATAAATTTCTAGAAATGGAATTGCTGAGTCAAAAGGCATATATATACATTTATAATTTTGATAGACGTTGGCAGGTTGTCCACCTTAAAGACTGAGTTGGCCCTTGTGAAAATTCAGCTAATTCAGACTCCCACCAGCAATGTTTAAGAGTGCTCTGATCTTGTAGTAGCTCACAGTGAAAAAGAATATGAAAATGAATATATGTATATTCATGTATGACTGAAAAATTGTGCTGTACACCAGAAATTGATGCAACATTGTAAACTGACTATAACTCAATAATAATAATAAAAAAAAACTTCTTAAAAAAAAAAGAGTGCTTCTTTCTCCACACCCTTCGGAAAAGGATTTTTTAACTTCTTGATCTTTGCCAACCTAATAGAAGTGCACATATTTTTTAATGTTTTCCAAATGACAAAAGGAAATTGTTAAGAAGAGAGTCCCAAATCTTGCCACTTTCTGCAAACTCATGAATTACTTCTGGTTTGAAGGAACCTCTAGACATTATACCCTTTTCTCCTCTCTGGAAAGATTTCTTGTTGCAAACCAGTATTGTGAAACCAGCGTAGGCTCAGATCCAATCATTGTAGTTATGTGATCTTGAACCAGACACCTAGCTACATGATGCCTCAGTTTCCTAATCTGGAAAAATAAGGATATAAATAGCAACTTCACAGGATTGTTATGAAGATTGAATGAACTAATCCAAGTAAAGTGTCTTCTCTCTCAGTCAGATAGAAACAATTTCTCGGTCACTGTGAAGATAGCCCCTCTCAAATAAACAATTTCCTCTCTCCAAATAGGCCTCTCCAATGGAAAACATCAAATTAGTGGTTCCCAAAAGTCCTGGAACTAAGAAAAGAACGGTGGCTGA